TATCACTGCAGTGCTGAGCTGATTCTATGAAGTTACTCAGTGAAAGACTTCACAGATGAAGTCTTAGAGAGAAGAGAGTATGTAAGAAATCTCACTTCTTGCAGATTCTTTATCTCTATTTCTATCTCTTATATAATTAATAGAGTTAGCAGCCCTTGACTACATATAACTATATAGACTGAAGTTTGTGAATACTATTCATAACTCAGCTTGAATGCTATTATACATTTGACCTCTACATTTTATCTTTCTATCATGAATACTTCTAGTAGTTAACAGTACATATCACATCAAGCTGCAAATGTCTGAATAATCGCCTGTGAGTACTTATTCTTACAATACTTCAGAGTTCAGAATCTCATTCTTCTAGATAGTATATAATTATAAGAAGTTTCTTATCATAGATCTTATAATTACATGCAGCAGAACTCAGTTTCTTAGACATGAAAATACATAATTATAAGATATTTTTATTATTATATTATAATATAGCTTCTTCTGTAACATAGTTAGAGAAGTCAACTTTAATAACTATCTCACAATCAGAGTTAAATATTATTAATAGAGAGATATTAGTAAATATCTTCTTCATCTGTATGAATATAGCTTCAGTATTTACTAATTACTGAAATACTAAGTTCTTCTTGATAAGTTCTATAAGTGATCTCATCATATCTGAGAAGTTTTATATAAATTACTGATAGAAGTTAGTAAATCTGATAAAGTTGTATATATCTTTCACAGTATGTAGAGCTTTTTATTCAAGAATAATAGAGATCTTCTCAGAATTTATTTAAATTCTCTTATCAACTTCTATGATAAAATCTAGATATTTTATACTCTTGACTTTAAAATTATACTTGTTAATATCTATTGATAGTTCTGCTTCTTGTAATTATTATAATACTCTCTACACATATTTTTAATATTTCTTTCTGAATTTATTAGTGAAGATGAGAATGTTATCTAGATATATAGATATAAACTTATTAAGAAAATCTCAGAGTGCTCAGTTAATATACTTCTGAAATATACTGAAAGTATTAACTAGTTCAAAGAGTGTGACTACTTATTCGAAAAGATTATAATATATTCAGAATACTGTAAGCTATTCATCTTCTTCAGTAATATAAATCTTATAAAACTTAGTAATAATATTCAGTTTTATAAACTATTAAGCTTATTTAATATATACTAGAGTTTCATTGATAAGAGATAAGAGATAATGATCTTTCTTTATTAATCTATTCAGATCTCAATAGTTTATATAGAATTGAAGTTCTTTATCTGATTTCTTTACAAAGAGAATAGAAGCTATAGCAGAAGAGTTACTAATATATATAAATTTCTTATTCAACAGATCATTAAGTGTCTTCTGAAGAAGAAGAAGTTCATTTCAAAACATATTATAAAGAGAGTCTTATAATAACTCAGAGTTCTTATTATTCTTCTTTTCTAACTTAATACTGTAATTCACTTCTAGATCTTGTAAGAAGAATATATCTATAATATTATCTTATCAGAAGATATCTAGATATTTATAATATTATTAAGAGAGTTTTGTATAAGAATCTGTTATTATAATACAGAATAACTTCTCTAGAGTTTTCTTAATATCAGTCAGACTAATAAAATAGATTACTATATAATTCTACTATCAGTGACTTTGTCAGTGATCTTATTAATAACTTCTCTTTCAGAGTATTTTATAAGTGTTGACAGAGATCTATGTAAGATTTATAGTCTTATGAATATTATCTTTATAAATTTTATTATTATTAGAGAATATTAAGCTTTCATTTTAAGTATTTAATAAGATATCTTATTCAGATAGTCAGACAAGTTCTAGTATAAGATTATAGTTAAGATTATTAACTTTATATATATAAGTATCTTCACATTAATATTCTCTAATATCTATGTTTAGTTTTATCATATAACAGATATAAATATCTTTTAAATTATTAAATTCTGTAAGAAGTTAGAGTTTTAATAAGAGAATATACTAAAGATTATAATATCTTATAACTGAAGATTTAATCATTGTATAGTAATATAGATTACTGTCTATCATAACTTTCATATTATATATATTATTAATTACAATAGATATAAGAATTGCTTTTATTATTATTTTCTCTTTAAATTATTATTATCTGATCTTTTCAAGCTTCTGTTTATATATTTAAACAGAAGCTAATCTTTTCTCTATTTTATTAAAATATTCTTATAATTATCTTCTAAATCTTTCTTTAATATAATATGATTAATACAGACTACTAATATTAATCTTTCTTTTAAATGAAAAGATATATAGACTGATTAGTAGTTAAAAGTAATATATTCTAATCAGTTATAATTAATGTATATCTCTTATTAATATTGATTAGTAACTTCTTCAGAAGTGATCTCAAAGACTTAAAAGTCTATTTAAATAATAGAAACTCTTGCTTATATATAGATATTTAAGTTTACTTAATTTATAACATCTGTATTATCATTCTTCAGTGTAGATATATAAGTAACTGAGATGTAATATCTTCTATTACTATTCTATATACTCTTGAGCTTGATTAAGCAGTTATTCAATGTTCAGAGTTATATATAAAAGTTTTTATAAGTTAAGTTTTTATCTATACTTATAAGAGTCTGTAAGAGTTTGAAAGTTAATATCTTCTTAAGTATACTACTCTTTATTTAATTCTCTCAAGATTGATCACCTACTTCTAGAATCTTAATATTAAAGTCAGAGATAAATATTATAAGAGCAGTATTTCTCTATCAGATACTCTGTAATTAATCTAATACTTTCTATTGTATAGCAGTATTTTAAAACAGAATATTAAAATATTTAATAATATTATCAGATATTTATAACACTGATTCACATACTTTTATTTATGAATAAAACTTCTATCTTATATAATCTTTCAATTGATTATTAATATACTAATCTTAATTAGTTAATAAACTGATAACATCTTCATCTATACTTAGTTTTATAAGTATTTTCAATCTCTATAATGAATAGAGAGTGAGATCAGAAGTATTAAAATATATAAAAGTATTTAAATATTTCTTTAGTACTTATATATTTATATCTGATTTAATCAGTGTTAAAATTACTTATACAGAAATTTCTAGTTAAGATAATCATTGAATTTTCTTATATTAATATTATTAAGTTATATATATATCAGTTATTTATTACTATTATTATTATTATTATTATTCTTCCATTATACTCATATGCAAGCGGAGCTTATGATGAGTCCTTGCGTGATGTTAAATACAGGTCAAGTGTTGGTTATACAGGAGGAAATACAGGTGTTGAGACCACGCCAAGATAACAAGAACATAGGAAAATACAAGGGAGTGACAATTAGATACATGCGATAATAACTTCCCAGCCCAGGAACATAGAGCGATTCATTGGAGCGATTTGTACACCTCTGTATTTATTAGAAACCTGAGGTGCTTGAGTTCCGGATTTAATGTATCCCCTGCGGGTTTCGAACCCACGCGCCTTGGTTTCCCACGCCAAGGCGCTACCAGGTGGCCGCATTAACCATTCGGCCACCGAGGCAGTTATTTATTACTGTTATAATTTCAATATTACTCAGAGTCACTATAATACTATATCTATACTTATATTTAAGAGTTCTCTTATATTATTAGTAGATATAGCTGTATTATTTATCAGATATATAATATCTACAGAATTAGAAGAAATGTAATTATATAAATATTTTATACATCTAAGATATCAGAACTCTCAGATCTTTTACTAATATTCTCTTTATAAAATCTTATTACAGAGTCAGAGTAACTGATAAGTAAGCTTCTATTTAAAAACTTAGTATCTACTTAACTGTTTGATTATTTCTCTATTTCTTATGTATTATTATGCATTTAAATATCTCAATAGATAATTATTTCTAATGAGAAGATAATAAGTGTAAATAATCATTTCTAATAAGAAGATAATGAATATTTTTTAAGTGTAAGAGATCTACACTGAATAGATCAGTATAATATATAACTTATAAGCCTTATAATATAAAAGTGAAAAACATTAGAGAAGAAAAAAAGAGAAAGTATGAGAATCAGCAATTAGAGTGAATATTTATATGTGTACACAGTGAAGCTTCAGAGTGAAAGAATAGAAATTTCATATACACAGTGAAGCTTCAGAGCAGAAGAATAGGAATTCTGTGAGTTTTTCAGCTAAGAATCAGTGACTGAGAATCGGAGCTTTCAGCGGAATCTATGAGAGTGTAATGGAATAGTCTATATGATTGATCGGGCGCAGCCCGCCACAATAATAAGTAAAACTTGCTTTTTTTCTTAATATTTAAACATGTTTATAATACTGTGATAATATATATTAACAGATTTCATATTTTTTAGCAGTCTCAGTGTAATTAGAAATCAATTGCAGATTCAAATCAGCAATTGTTATTTGTATAACTGTTTCATAGTGCATGTTGTAAGTAGACTGGCCGCCGGGACCATGAATTTCATGTTTGGTCCCATTTGGTCTGGTCTCATACATTTCTTGGCGTGAATCCCGCTGGGACTGACTATCAAAAAAACATGCAAAGTGACTATATATCAGATCTTAAAATGGAACCATGACTTGAAAAAAATGAGAAAGTGGTTCCATTTGATCCCATTTAGTCCCATTCTTGGCATAAAGTTACTATTTTTAGACATTTTAAGGTTTTTTTTAGACTATTTTTAATTTTTTAAAAAGTAACACTTTTTGATAACACTCAAATGAGATTTAAAGTCATTTAAAGCAATAAAAATAATTTAAATTGAGAAGTGGAAATCATGATCCCATTTGGAAAATGTGACAAGAGTAGACAGTAAGTCCCACTGGAACAGTATGAGACTACTATCTAATGTTAAAACCGTGTAATGGGATCAGTCGAATTGGTAATGAGACTATCAAAAAATCTGGTCCTGGTCCCAGACACGGTCACACGGTCAGTCTAGTTGTAAGTGTTTGAAAATGAATGAAAAAATGAAGATTAAGCAGGCGTTGAGTGTAACCAGGCATTGAGTGATTGATCACGTTAGAAGAAGAAAAAAATATAATTGAAAATGTAAAAAAAAAGAGAAAAAAATGTTATAATAGTTAGAAAAAAAAAAAAAAAAGAGAAAAGAAGAGGTAAAATCAATCTTACAATATCAATATAAAAGCACAGAGAGAGAGAGAATGAGAATAATATATCAATCAATCAATCAATCAACTCACTTAATACAGACTCTGTCTCTTGCTCTCTCTCTCTCTCTCTCTCTCTCTCTCTTTTCACAATCTCATTGAGAAACTCTCATACTAAAACCCTTCATCATCTCCAAAGCTCCAATTCCTCTGATGAACACTCCGACTGATCCTCTTCTCACCCACGCCTGAACCCACAGACGACGCTGGCTTGGCCTTCACCTTCTTCTCTACCTCCGCCTCCTCCGCCACAAACGCATCCGAGCTCGAATGGATCGGCTTCACAGCCTTCTTCTGACCACCACCATCATCATTTGCGGGTGGATTCCCATTCTCATCGCTCTTCTTCCCATTGGCATCACCGCTGCCATTACTATCATGATCATTATTTGTATTATTGTTACCATTATTCACCTTCTTCTCCCCCCCTTTCTCCATAGAATTCGAATCATCCGCACCACCGTCCACCATCGTCCAATGGCTATCAAAATCCTTACGCCGATGAGCGGCATTTGCAGAAATGTTAGACGCAGGTCGCACCGGTGCCTCATCAGTACCACCCTCAGCAGCACCGCTACCGGGGCCTGGGACGCGCGTGTCTGAATCTCCGTAGATGTTGTTTTGATACAGGCCTAGACCTTTGTTATGTGCAGCGCCGGGGACCTTGAAGGGCGCCTGCCCCTGTTGCCCCTGTCCTTGTTGTTGCTGTTTCTTGTTGGCGATAGGTGCATCGGCGTCCTCGAAGATATTATTTTCGTACAGACCCAGGCCTTTGTTATGTGCGTTGCCCCTGGGATTGATCGGCTGGTTCAGCTCGCGTGCGTTAGGCGCTTCATCGTCACGGAGCTCAAAATGCGTTTCTGCATCGCGCCGTGGTTGCGGGGCTCGACGTTGCTTAGGTGGACTATCTGCAGCATCCCCCTCATCGTCGCTCCAGCCGAAATGTCGCACGTTCTGCGGCTGGAGTTTCTGTCGCGGTTTTTCAGGAGTGGCAAAGTCCTCGAAATCCCACTGGGACAGGTGTTTCTTTGCGTGGGGGCGGATAGGGAGGTTGTTCTGTACACTCTTCTGGTCCGCTTCGCCAAACTCAAAATGATTCTCCTGCCTTGGTTTTTCTTGCCTCAGTTTGGGTGGTTCAGCCTCGCCAAATTCAAAGTGGCCTGGGGCCTGTGGTTTCGTCGTGGGTCTAGGATGAGGAGTCTCTCCGAACTCGAAATGGCTGTATTTCGATGAGTGAGTTTTCTTAACTACTGTTTTTTTATCCTCTTGCTCTACTCGTTTCCCTTCATCTTCATCCACAAACAACCGCGATGGCCTATACATATCTCCCCCCCCTCCTTTGGACGCGATAACGTCATCATTCCTTACAGGCCGCGAGAATTTTCTCGTAGGTGTGGACTCAGCATCGGACCCAACAAGCAATTCACCTAAATCGCGAGGAGGAGGTTTGGCAGACCCGCGCGAAGCGCCTGACACGGGCCGTTCTTCCGGTGGAGGAGAACGGGGTTCGAAAAGCGACAATGAAGTATGCGGATCTTTGGTGATTCTCTTGCTGGGGGACGAGATTGATCCAAATGACGCGTTTGACGCGGCAGTAGTAATCGATCGCTTTTCTGGCAGAGACGCCGGCGACGAAATGGAAGTGGAGCTTTTGGCCGCAGCGGAGATGGAGGAGTTGACGAGACGCGACTGTTCAGTAGTGTAGCGGATTGGCCAATTGCGGCTGTCCGCGTCGATGACCTCAAGCTGCTTGAGAAGCGCTCCTTGGTCCCAGTACAGTCGGATTTGTGTAATCCTATCGTTGCTATTAAAATGGACGATGTGGACCTATTAAAAGAGTTCAAACTTTGGTCAGTGTTTACACTCATTATTTAGATATTTTTTGTACCAAATATTGCTCCATATATTTGCAATAGTTTGTCTTTCTTTTTGACAATTTATTTTTTTTAATTTTTGCTTTTTCTTTTTCTCTTATCTTTCGCGCGGGCGGGGCAACAATTGCCCCAAAAAAAATAATAAGAACCAGAGAAATAATAAGTTTTATTCGAAGAAGAAGAAGGATAGTTAAATAATTGGGCAGACTGACTATTGGCACCGTGACGACGCGATCGACAAGGAAATTATCATCCAGCTCCAGCAGATAGGCCCCTCCCCCAGATATAAACTCCAGCGAAGTCTCGACGTCCAAGCATAGCGAACGGGCACCCTCGACTGCGTGGACGATCTTCTCTGTTTTCTTTCTGAGAGCGCGGGACTGGGTGATGAGATGTTTGACGATGGGTTCTGGGTGGGAGAAAGTGGTCGTGGTGGATATGTAGTGTAGCGCAGCATCGGCGGAGAGAGACGCGGCCGTTGGATCGGCCAAGAACCGCTCGTAGACGGCTTTGAGCGACATGGTTGGTGGGGATGGGTAAGGTAGATAGATAGATAGGTGGATGGAGGATGGAGAGAGGGGGGGGGGGGGGAGAGGGAAGAGAGGGATACGGAGGAGATGAGGAAATAGGACGAGACCAGGTAGGTATGAGGAAGTCAGTCAGAGCCCGGGATCAGGATTGTTTATTATTTTTTATTATATATAGTGGTGTTATTGTTATTAGGGGACGGACGGTGTTTGGGCGCGCGGGTTGGGATGTTGCTATGGATGTTGTTGCAGCAAGGAGTAAAGTAATCGGCGGGCAAGCGTGTTCAGGTGTATCCTGTATTTATTTGTATCCTGTATTCTGCGGTTTCTGCGGTTTCTGCGGTTTCTGTTGGTTCTCTCCAACGGCGGCAGGGATACAGACAGACCGTTGCACTTGGGGGGCTCGGTATATATTTCTCAGGAGGGCTGGCTGGCAGTTAAATACATAGTTGTGTAGTTATAATCTCTCTAACATCTACGTAGTAGAGGCCCAGTTGACAGCAGGTGTATGGTATGTATGATCTTTTCTTCCTTGTGAAATGTACTGACTATTATATGTGGAGTGCAGAGATTATTATTTATTAGAGATAAAATAGATAAAAACAAAAGATAGAGAGATATTTCCAACTTAATCAATAATGATAACATTACTACGTATTGTCTGGGGAATAACAGAAACCAAACAAGGCGGGTTAACAGGCCAAGGAAATCCTGGACAAGGTCAGGGGTCAGGTCAGGTCAGTCACCATAACATATACCTGTTCCTGGATATGATTATAGTTAAAAGGGAAACTCTCCATTGTTTTCCTGTCTCCTGTTCCTCAGAAAACAAGAACCAGGAGTTTCTTCTACTCCGTACATGCAATGCAGCCTATTATTATCAATATCCACGGCAGCTGTAACTAAATAAGCCCCAGAACAAACGCCACTGTTTCATCTTCCCTCGAAAGACGCCGTGACTGGCTGGCTGTGCAGACGGGGCCTAGCTCGGGCTTCTGGAATGCTGCGGCGAAGAGAAGCCTGGAACACAGCAACCAACAAGTAGCCAGGCACGTGTGTTCAAATTGAAATTGCCAGCAAGAATCATCAAGTATCAAAAGTATCAGTATTATTATTATTCTTGATGTGATGGAGTATGTATGTATGTATGTACGTACAAGGGCAACATGCTAGTTTTGATCCATCATTATCACTCTCACAGTCTCTGCACTGGGTTTTGTTTTAACACTGATCTTGTTAAAAGTGAAAAGTGAAAGTTGTTTTCAAACCTAGTTAACTACCTGCCTATGTGCCCGTGTCATACAAAAAGGTGCACATTATTTCAGCTACCCCATTCCAATCTATTGTCTAACATAAAGAACAACAACACTCTGAACAATCACAAAAAGAAATAGCTAACTCTGAGAGAAGGACAGGACAAATATAGAATACAATCAATTTCATCTGTAGTTATGTATATTGCCAATGATGTGGGTGTCTGGGTGTATATATGTTCTTCTTAAAAAATTGAAAAATTGAAAAAAAAAAAAAAAAAAGAAAAAGAAAAAAAAACCCCCCGCCTTTTTAAACGCCTTGCTAAATGACTTTAAATGAAGTCTAGTGGTGGAAAATACTCCGATAAACCCGTCCATCGTTCTCTGGGCGTTTGTTTGTAACAGCTTTGGGGTAATGCTTTTTGACAACTGGATGCAATAAATGAATGCAGCCCTTCCAATGGACAATAATAGCCCGACAGAGCAGGCAAACGAAACAGAAATCCGGAAGTCATCCTCGTACCTTTCGTTTCCTTACTTTTGCTTTTTTAATAATAAAGGCTAGAACACCGCGACGAGAATAAGACAGAATACTTAATTCTTTGGTTTCTCCTTCGCTTCTCTCTCGCTCCTCCCGTTATTTTCATTTCCACTTTTTTGTCCTTTGCCTACCTTCGTCCCTTTTTATGGTATAGATAATTTTTAGAAAGAAAGATGTGGTATATTATTACAACGTCCTGTTTTCATAGCAACTGTTAGTCATGGGCTGATCGTCTATCCGCCGCGCTTCTCTCTTCCCCTCTCTCTCCGCAGTTCAAATATACAACACCAGTGCCTGCAGGAGTGGAGACATGGGCATGGGACGGGTTTAGACAGACCCTAAATAATCCTCTTTGATACTTCCAATCGCAAACATATTGCGCACGTCATTTCGCAACCCAATCAGCTTGATGCGCAAATTGGTGCCCTTCTCAATAACCTGTTCTCCATTGTCCGTATATTGCGGCGGAGTCGCGTCGGGGTCCCATTTGATTTCGGGGGGAATCAACTGTTACTCGGAACAAAAATGGAATGATACTCGTTAGCAAAGCGAACCTCGGGTGCGTCCAGTTCAAACCAATCCAGTAAAAGAAGAACAGGAAATATCAGCGGCAACGAGCAAAACATAATAAATGAAACATACATGTTTCGACACGAAGACCGTCAACTGGCCAACTTCTGCAAATATCCCTTGGTTTTTAACAGATGTCACGATAGCATCCACCTTCATGCGATCATCACCATCACAGGCGATACCCAGTTAGCACGACACGTGTAAAAAGCCCATCTGAATCCCACAAACAAGCCCCACAGAAAATACATACCGTCTCCCCCTTAAACGGCTTCCAGACAATCGCCCTGTACATAATAGTATACTCCGCCAGCCCGCTACCAGGCAACACCCTCCCCTCCGAAATGTCATATGTATCCATCACACAAACAATGTAATAGTCGCCCGTGCACACCCCTTCCACGTCATCTAGCAGCTTCTGCGTCAGGTATTCCTTCACATGTGAGCCGAAGAAGGTCGGGTGGAGAGTGAGGACATGTTCGAGGAAGTGGATGAAGAACATGGTGAAAAGGCTGGGCGGGTGAACGCAACAGAGGACAAACCCGCGCGCTGTAGTTTCGCGCTCACTGTATGGCGACTAGAATAACGGCCTCTCAAGCAATGAATCGCCGGGTTTGTCTTTTGGACGGAAGGATGCTAAATTTTCTAAATCCCCCGCAGCCCCAATGTGCGTGTGTGCGTGTGTGGGTAGGCGGGTAGGCGGGCAAGATCCAATCCAACCCCCAAAGCTCCCAGAACGGCCTTCCTAACAAACGGACTTTGCGCGCAAAACAAAGCCCGGGCGACGTCGTGCGATTCTTAGCGTATCATGACAGAGCTGTTTTTTTTCCTTCGCTTTTTACTCTTTCTCTTTTTCGTGGTCCAAACAGGAAGACTGTTTGATAATGACAGGCAAAAGCAGCGCGTAGCTTTAGCCAGCAACAAATCGTCTATTTCTATAAACTGGGTAAACGAGAGACGAGAAGAGAAAGCTGAATATTGGTACCCTAAGGGAATTGGAGGAGGAGAAGGGCCGTGGTTAGCTGAGCTGAGTAAAACCTTAATTAAGTAGCCCACGGGCGCGTTATGGAGAGCAAAGTAATCCGCAGGATTGCGCAGGTGAGCAAAGGATAATGAGGAGGGGAGAGAGGGAAGGGGAGTGTGAAGCGGGAGAGATTCAGAGATTGGCATGTTGAGCCTGACAGAGGCAAGAACCTTGGAACCTTGGAAGTTTGCGGGCGCGAAGAGCAGTCACGTGGATTTCATGTTTATCACGTGATATAAAACTCAAGGGTGATCTCCGGCTCCTAGACAATGGACATTACCTAGGTAGTAGATGAGCGACTTAGAAGTTGGATGAGGTTCATGAGATGGCAGAGGGTTAAGGAATCTATGCAAGATACGGAATGAATACCAAATGGACTTCTTTCTCGGTATACTGACAGAGGAAGCTACTAACGAGCAGAACTATGAGGCGAGTGTGAGGCATGTGTAGATGGCGAACATGAGCGCTGCTTGCTTGTCCCAGAGGAGAAGTGGGAGGCAGATAAATAATTCTTTACAAACAACAGAAAAGGAATGATAAAATGGCATACTCATTTGAGGGTACGGCTTTGATGGATGTACTAAGTATATCTTCATGGTTGACCAATGACGATCACATGAAAGCTGGGCACTTCGCGGCGGCAACCTTAAATCTTCCTGCCCAGAACAACATCTGGGGAAATTGGAACATCTCCGCCTACGAGCCTGAGACAGACAGACAGGCGAGCCGGAATATACAGAAGCCAGAGTCCGAATACAGATATTTCCTGATCCTCCATACCAAGACTGGGAACAATATACCAACTCAAATCCCCAGTATCCAGTTGCTTGCTCCTGCTCTTCCCACCATCCCCGCTTATCTATAACCTATTTCTAGGTTCCCAGGTTATTTACTACACCCAGCGACACGTTCATGTACCACACTTACATGAGATCCCACTCCTCCATCTCTGTGTAGACGGGCAACTCGGATAGCAGCCATGGCGCTCAACCTGGAAAAGCAGTTTACCTTTGTAAGTAATAGTAGAGTCTCTACTTATTGACCCCTCCTTAACCCACAACAAGAGACTGACCGTTCTGTGCAATAGTATGGTGCCTACCACCATAATCCAGTAAGAGATATCCGGAGAACCCGCCCTCCTATGTAGATCCTATATGTCACATACGTTCAAATCGTCTCTACCTATCTATCCTAACGCATCTCGTCTCGCTACATAGGTGAACGTCGCAATCCACATCACATGTGTCCCGGTGATAATGCTGTGCATGTTCCAACTGGTACACCTCCTATTCTCCCATTCCCTCCCTATCAGCAACAAATCCAGAACTAACAACAACATCCAGGCAACAAACTCAGGCCCCGTCATCCCTCTCCCGGACTCCCTCTCCATCACGAACCTTCCCCCAAACCTCGGCACCATAGCCGGCCTCCTCTATGCGTCCCTCTACGTCCTCATGGAACCTGTGGCCGGCGCTCTCCTCGCCCCTTTACTAGTCGGTGGCACTGCGCTTGTCAACCATCTCACAGCCACCTACGGTTCCGCAGCGACATACTGGGGCCTAGGCATCCAGGCAGTCGCATGGATAGCGCAGTTTGTCGGCCACGGCGCTTTCGAGGGGAGAGCACCCGCATTGCTAGATAATCTGGTGCAGGCGTTTTTCCTCGCGCCGTTTTTCGTGTGGCTTGAAATTCTGTTTTCGTTGGGGTACCGGCCACAATTGAAGGCCAGGATTGATCAGGCGGTTATGAAGGAGATTGCGAAGTTTAAGGAGGAGAAAGGGACTGGGAAGGGAAAGAGCTAAATAGTTATTTTGCTTTTCCCGTTCCCACATCCCACCAAACTCCCTTGGCCGTTTTCTTTTTCTTTTAAGCCATCAGGTGGAGGATAGGGTGGCTATCTGTTGTGTGCTACTTTTGCGGCCGGGCTTTTGTATTCAATATATACCCCGGGGTCAAGCGAGAGGTTTATTGAATAGTACGGTATGGTATGGTGTGGGGGTGATTGATGCGTGATGGGAACAATTGGAAGGAGGAAGCAGGATGCACTGACACGACCCTTTCATATGTATATTCATTTTTGGAGGGGCAAGATTTCATCTATCCGCGACTTCCGGAGTTGTCTACTCTCCTCTCTTCTCCATGATCGATTCGGTTCTATTACTCTCAAAACAAGTGGATGTTTATACGTGACGGATAATACTTTACGTGACGTTAGTTGATATTTTTATATAATCTAGCATATGATATTGGCATTTGTGTTTTCAATTGCAAATGCCCTTTATCTAATTTATATGCGTTTGAAATGTATCTTTTCTCGTTATGCTCATGACTAAGCACAACAATGTCGCCCTAGTCGCAACTCTAGGAATCAACAAAACCCAAAACAAGGCGAAACACCACGCATTACGCCTCTAGATGGCGGTATTTGGAGCAACTGAACCGTATAGACGATAGTAAAGGTATCTGCAATGATAAGCACTGTAATTGCACCGTCTCATCGCCTGCAATTGTGCGCTGTGGTGGCATTCAGCCCTCGGAACAAACTTTGCTGACTGTCCTATTAGGCTCGGCAAGATCTTGGCTAGTCCCGTTTGGGCCCAGTCCTCCTCGCAACCTCAAAGCTCGCTCTTTTCCACCATCCACAATATCCGCTCCTCTCCTCTCCCACTGTGCAACCTCCAATTGCTCTCTCCTCCCATCTTTTTCCATCTCTACTCCCTCTGAACCCCATCCTTCACAATGTTCAGAAACGCCCTGCGGCAGTCCAGCCGCTCTGTCGCCGCCGTCTCTGCCTCTGGCAGGATCGCTAGTGTAAGCCATCCCTCTTCCCATCCCTTTTCATCGATCTTCCCATCCAAACCCCCAGCCACGCCCATTGTCTTCATCGCTTCCACCCGACAGAATCCATCCATGCCGCCCTCAATATTGATGTCGATGTCCTGTTGGGATCCAATTGACTCAATTATATCCCCTTGGAGTCGCGTCTGCTCTGTTTAAACCCCGCTGACAAATTTTCTTCCCGTCGAAAACAGGTTCGAGTTGCTGCCCCAGGACCACTTTCACAAGTTCGAACATACGCTGCGGAAGCAAAGGCTTCTCCTACCGAACTCTCCTCTATCCTCGAACGGAAAATCCGGGGTGCCCATGAAGAAGCCGGCTTTGCTGAGACTGGCCGTGTCCTTTCTGTCGGGTACGCCTAGAATCTCTCACCCAAACAGACCAACATCAAGGACAAAAAAATTAGCCATTGCGAAAATACAACCACAACAAAAAGATATAGTGATGAATGCTAACTGGCTGGACAATAGTGACGGTATTGCCCGCGTCCATGGCATGGCCAATGTCCAGGCCGAGGAACTCGTCGAGTACGTTCTTTGTCTAACCTTCCGACCGTTGAAAGTCAAAAACATACTTACACCAAACTTTTAGGTTTGCCTCTGGCGTCAAGGGCATGTGCATGAACTTGGAAGCCGGCCAAGTCGGTGTTGTGCTCTTCGGTTCTGATCGTCTCGTCAAGGAAGGCGAGACTGTCAAGCGAACTGGCCAGATTGTATGTACAGGAAATTCTTTGTCATCAACTTGATGTTTTTTATATGCTAACCCTTCACCCTCAGGTTGATGTCCCCGTTGGCGACGCGCTTTTGGGCCGTGTCATTGATGCTCTCGGTAACCCAATTGATGGAAAGGGCCCAATCAAGACCACGGAGAGACGACGTGCTCAGGTCAAGGCCCCCGGCATTCTGCCTCGCCGCTCCGTCAACCAGCCTGTGCAGACCGGTCTCAAATGTGTCGACTCTATGGTTCCCATTGGCCGTGGTCAGCGTGAGTTGATCATTGGTGATCGTCAGACTGGAAAGACTGCCGTTGCTCTTGACGCCATGCTTAACCAGAAGAGATGGAACGACTCCAATGACGAGACCAAGAAGCTGTACTGTGTTTACGTTGCTGTTGGACAGAAGCGTTCCACTGTCGCCCAGCTCGTCAAGACCCTTGAGGAGAACGATGCCATGAAGTACTCCATCGTTGTTGCCGCCACTGCTTCCGAGGCTGCTCCCCTTCAGTATATTGCTCCCTTCACTGGTAAGTCTTATTTTTTCCCTTCTTCCCTTTTATTTTATATTATGTTTTTATTTTTAAAAAAACTTCTGATTCTAATGACTGTTCTTACCCGTTTCAGCGACTGCTTGCGCCGAATTTTTCCGTGATTCCGGACGCCATGCCCTGATCACCTATGACGATTTGTCCAAGCAGGCCGTTGCCTACCGCCAGATGTCTCTGCTGCTCCGTCGTCCCCCCGGACGTGAGGCTTACCCCGGAGAGTACGTTTCAAAATTTCTCTCTTTTGTAGGGTTCACATATGTCTAACTCTTATTCCTTTAGCGTCTTCTACCTCCACTCTCGACTTCTCGAGCGTGCCGCCAAATTGAACGACGCCCACAAGGGCGGTTCCCTCACTGCCCTCCCCATCATTGAGACCCAGGGTGGTGACGTGTCCGCGTACATTCCCACCAACGTCATTTCCATCACTGACGGCCAGATCTTCTTGGAGGCCGAATTGTTCTACAAGGGTATTCGCCCAGCCATTAACGTCGGTCTCTCCGTGTCCCGTGTCGGCTCCGCCGCTCAGCTCAAGGCGATGAAGCAAGTCGCTGGTTCACTCAAACTTTTCTTGGCTCAGTACCGTGAGGTTGCCGCCTTCGCCCAGTTCGGTTCCGACTTGGACGCTTCCACCAAACAGACCCTCAATCGCGGTGAGCGCCTGACCGAGCTGCTCAAGCAGAAGCAATATAGCCCCATGGCTGTCAACGAGATGGTCCCACTTATTTTCGCTGGTGTCAACGGCTATCTCGACTCCATCCCCGTCAACAAGATTCTGCAGTGGGAGACCGATTTCCTTGCCCACCTCAAATCCAATGAGCCTGAGCTTCTCCAAACCATTGAGAAGGAAGGGCAATTGAGCAAGGACCTTGAGGCTCAGTTGAAGGATGTCACTATTGCCTTCAACAAGGCTTTCTCATAACCTTTTTGCGCTGACAACCGCAATGTATTTGAAAATGAAAGGAGGGAGAAGGAATAGAAAGGAAAACTATGTGTAACAAATTAAATCTTTGCATCCTCTTTTTTTCCTTTTTTTTTTTCTTTTTACTGTTTTTATCCCTTAAGCATTCCCACCTACTCAAGAAAAAGGATCATTTTTTTCCTTTCTTTTTCTTCCTCTCTCCTTATTTCTTTAATAAAAACTCACTCTTGCCACAATGTATAGACAAGAAATAGCTCGTGTACAATTTTGAAATCAATTTCATTTTCGTTTTATTACTTCATATTTTAATTTCTTGTGTATTCTTGGCACTCTGTGAGAAAGAGAAAAGTGGTATAAAAAGTTACACTCATGACTTCTCTACATGGGAGTCATCTAAGTAATGAATTCTCTCCTTTTACTGCCTCTTCTCCTGTGATCACTTTTCATACGTTTCAACTCTGCTCATCTCTCATTTTTCTCACTAGCCTACTTTTTCAATTTCCAGTTTCCGTTGTTTTTTTACGGCATCTTTCTCTATTTTGTCGCTTTTCTACTTGCTATATGATGAATGTACTGTGTACGATTATCCCTCTGTTAGACACAATTGTATTGAGATTGATTAAGAAGAGAGAACTGAGAACTGTCTGCTCTTAGATGCTGCTGCTAGGTTCTGACAGTTGTGTGAAATGGAGGAGAAAATATGAGAAAAAAAGATATACTAATACAAAGTGCTGAATTTTGAACAATGAAAAAGCTAAAGAAGCCGACATCTAATGAGCACAGCCAGCTCTGGTGAATTTGAACTCTGTGAAGCTGTATGAGTGAGTATTTTTTTTTTATTATTTCAGCTAGAGAAAGATGTTTAAGCTGACATTTGCTGTGTTTCCAAATTGAAAAGATTTTCTTGAAAAAACATATATATATAAAATAATACACCCAGACATACGGTAGACTATTTGCACCTGGTCAAGAGTTTAGCTCAAACACAGCTTTTATATATAAAATACCTAGTGATTCAATGTAGATATCAAAGTTAAGAAAAGAATCTCTTCTCTACTATTCATCATTGTATTATTCAATTCTAACAAGTCTCAGTGTTTCACAGAGAGTTTAACTATATATAGAGTGCAGATACTCATAGTTTTTCAATTGAATGATTAATATAATAATGTTAGCTATGAGTAGACTCTTTATTATCACAGAATATAGTAGCTGTCAATATCTGTACTTCATAGATACTCACAGCTCCTCTTTCATTATCTCATAGTGATAGTTAAACTCTTCAAGAAACATCAGAGCTGTCAGGATTTGACAATATAATGAATAGCGGGGATGAGATTCTTTCTTGACATTGAGATCTACATTGATTGAATCAACTAGCATTTGAAACTATTCTATCTCTGAGTTTGTAGTATCCATTTAGAGTTATAGAAAATATATGCATAGGAATATTCCAACACATTCTAGATTAGATCTCTTACTCTATTATTTACTTGTTTGACAAGATACTCTGTTGATGTCCTCTAGTCTAGCTTGTGAATCAATTCATCATTTTAAAGACATAGCTCAATCAGCTCATTGATAAGCCTGGAACGCACCCAAAAATAAAAGGAAAAAGTTTATAAAACCCATTTCTCACCTCCGTAGACACTCATGAATTGATTCCTGCCACACCCTCCCTTCCTTACATCTTCCCCTCCCCTCGACTACAAATAAATCCAGACACATGGCATCAGAACCAGAAACCCCCGCCCCAGCTTCCTGCAAAGTTGTACTTGCCGCGAATGTTGCGCGGGGCCTTTTGGCTGAGGTCAATGAGGGGCGTCAGACGCTGAACAGGGCGCCGCACCTCGTGGGGTTTTTGGCCAATTCAGACCCGGCTGCGAAGATGTATGCGGATTGGACGGAGAAGACGTGTAAAGACAAGTGAGTGTAATTTTTTTCTTACTTCTTTAGCTGTGATCGTTCCTTTTTTGCTTTTGCGAAATGAGAATCCTCCCCGTGTAAGCGCAGATGTGCTTCGCCCGGGTTGCGATTGTGGCTGCTTCAATTAAGATAACAGCCAGGGCTTTGGAGAATCATTTTACAGAAACCTCAATTGACGTTTAATTAATTAAACAAAAATGTAACGGCGAAAACATGTTAACCTCCAACTCATAGCAACTTTCGCTATACCCTCCGCACCGTCTCGCGCGACGACATCGAAGACGCCATCCTAGCCGCCAACGCAGACTCAGACATCGATGGCATAATAGTCTACTACCCCATCTTCAACAACAGACAAGACCAATATCTCCAACAAATCGTCGACATCTCCAAGGACGTAGAGGGCCTCAGTCACCGCTACATCTTCAACATGTACCAAAACATCCGCTTCCTCGACCCCCCGCAAAACAAGCAGAAATCCGTCTTGCCCTGCACGCCGCTCGCAGTTATCAAGATCCTCGAGTACCTGCAGATTTACAACACTATCCTCCCCTACGGGAATAGGCTGTTTGGGCATACGATATGTGTGGTTAATCGGTCGGAGGTGGTGGGGAGACCGCTGGCGGCGTTATTGGCGAATGATGGCGCGTGTGTATATAGTGTGGATGTCACAGGTGTACAACAGTTTACGCGTGGGGAGGGGATTAGGAAGAGACATCACGAGGTTATGGATATGGAGGGGTGGGGGTTGGAAGATGCGGTGCCGCATTGTGATGTGGTTATCAGCGGGGTGCCAGGGGATAATTTCAGGTTTGATACGAAGTTGTTGAGACAGGGGGCTGTGTGTATTAACTTTTCGAGTGAGAAGGTGAGTGTAGTCTCTGGTGATAAGGAGAGGAGGTGGCCGATTCTGTTCTTTTTCGAGTAAGTTTTATAATGCTGACGGCGGCTTTCTTTCTTTTGCCGATAGAATTTCGGACCAGAGGTGAAAGAGAAAGCATCCATATACGTCCCGGCCATTGGGAAGGTTACGATCGTGGTGCTGCTGAGAAACTTGCTTGTGAGATTTCCCCCTTCCTTACCCTTTCTAACGATATTATGTATTTGAATTTTCACTTTATCTGTCCTGACTTTCAAATCCCCTTAAAATAGAGGATCGTCCAGAACCGCAGCCACAGTCAGGTCCACCCTGCAGACGCTGTTGAGAAACCCGGCACTCTTGAGGGCGTCGTCACGCAAGCGGAGTAAGGAGAGTGACCGTATTCTTAACCGGTATCGATATGTACACATTTTTGTATAAACTCATGTTCTTCCATCTAGGGACAAAAGGTTGGTAGCCGGACTGAAGGGGAAAAAAAGGGAAGGGGGGTATAATTATATAAAACCAAGGAGTAAAAATGTGGAAAACGAAGCAAAACGAAGAAACTCGAAACGAACATAAAAAGGAAGATAGTTTCAACGATATCCTTGAGTTGATTTTTGGAATTTTGGAGTGCATGTTATTATTGTTTTATGGAGTGAAACGGAGCGTTTGGATTTTGATTTCAACATCAGATCAGGGGTTGCTGGTGGGAATTTAAAGGAGCGACATCTCTTGAGACTTTATTATTACTATTATTGTCATCTGCATGATCGTAATCATACGATGAGGGAACCGATATCGCAGTGCAATCCTCTGATATCCCCAGGAAAGAGGACTGAATACGAAACCTGGATAGGAGAGTAGGAGGTGTTCATGAATACATCCTTGCGCAAGTTGAAAAAATGAATACATCAGCAGCATCGGTAATGTAGGAACTAATTCTTTTTTTTCCCATAACGTACGATATCCCAATAATAAACATGCAGAATTCTTGTTACCAACCATTCCATCATCCAGCAAGCAACAGAATCAGAAACAAGTCCGAAGAAAAGAATATGAATGGGAGTCAGGACAGGACATGGGTGGTCAGTTAACAGCCAAAAGCCACTGCCCACACTCTTCTTCGATTTTATCATCAAAGGGATTATCCCACAACCCTACTGCTTCCCTGTCGCATCCTTATCACTAGTAGCCGAATCTACCCCCTTCAACGCCTTTATCTCACTATTAAGCCAATGCTTAAAGGGTTCGGGATGAAACGTGCCATCCGCAGAAAACCATCTCGAAAAGGGCGCAGAAACAGTAGCGTCCTGAAGAACCGCACCGGAGTTGGATGTATGTCTAATGCGCAGTGTATATAACGGCGAATGCTTTTTAGTCGATGAGCAGATGTGGAGCTGGTTGGATTCGTTTATTCATTAGTCCACAATGCTACCCTGAAAAACATCTACGTTGTATATAAGCATATATAACCATACCTTCTCACCCCCTTCCCTACTCCCCTCAAACACCTGTCCGGCCTCCACCAGCCAAATCCAGACCGTAAAGGCGAAGTTGAGAATAAAGTATGTCACGACAGCGGCTATGGTCCATGTGTGCGAAACATTCCACCCCAGCTGGCGGTCGACGTAAAATAAGGCTCCTGACATGGCCACGGCGGTGTATCCTAGTATTAAGCGGACATTGGATTTGAAGTTGTCTGGGGTGAATCGGTAGGGTTTTGGGATGGATATTAGGTAAGGAGTTAGTGCGTCGTCAGTAGCATTTTTGAGCTCTGTAGTAAGATATGTTAAATTTGGGCCAGTCCATTATTCGGTCTCTTGCACTTGGATTGTATATGTCGTATGATTGGGGGAAAAGAGAGGAGGGTTGCGATAAGTGTAATATGCTCACCAGATAATGAGTAGACGGGGACCTTAGAGGAGGCCATTGGGGGTGGTATGCCGTGCGTGTCCCGTGTGATTCTGCTTTGTTTTGAGATGACAGAGGCACGTTCATAGAATATCGATTTTGTTCAAGGGGACAGGACGTGTTAGCTTCGTTAAAAGATACTCTGAATCCTAGCTATCTGATAATTAGCATTGAAAGCTGTCCTTGGGCTGGAAATCAGACTAGCATCTGTTTAGGCTTAGTGCGCCGAGTTGACAAAGGCCAGCCTCCTGTGACATCATACTGCCTTAGTCATCACACGTCGGGAGGTTTATGTTGTTCCGGCCCTACTTTTCTCCGAGGCGTCAGCTAACTCACTCCTTCTGCAAGAAGTCCGCTGAGCGGGATGAAACTACAACAGGTAAATATCGCCAACTATTATTTGAGAGTCAACAGCTTTCATTGTCTCTTGCAATGGCGGTTCAAGGGGTGGAGCAGACCATCCTTCGGGATCCGGCTCTGTTGTATGTACTCATTAACTTTCCTTTGCTGTCTGCATGGCTAATGTTACTCCCAACGATGTAGTTACTGGATCCTCATCCCTATTAGTGTGGTCATGGTACGGAATATGTCCCAGAGAATTGCGTCTCGTCAGGCGCCTTCATTTTCTACTCATGAATCCATCTAATAACAAATTCGTGAACTCTATTGTTTAGATTTTAACTGGAATCCTGCGCCACTACGCAACCGTGTTCCTGGCAACTCCGGCCAAAACCGCCTCAACGCTAGCAGAGTCCCGGGAACGTCTGTCACTCTTGCGCGGCGTCAATCTACGAAATAATGCCTCTGCTGTCCTTACACCGTCATCTCTTGCTTCTCGCAAGAACTTTCTCATTACAGGCTACAAGGAGGGCTCGTTCCTGAAAGATCCAGAGGGACGCGGCGCGGGACCCGTAAACCCCATGACTGATCCTGCAGGCATGGATGCGATGATGGGTATGATGAAGGGTAACATGGCGATGATGATTCCGCAAACATTGATTATGGGGTGGATTAATGCCTTTTTTTCTGGATTTGTTATTTGTATGTTCTTGCGATTCTTGCTTTCGCAATTCTCCTTGAAAGCTACCAGCTACCTGCTACCATTGAAAATTGGACATGGAGGGATGCGAATACGGACACTGACAATTTCGCAGTGAAATTACCATTCCCGTTGACCATTCGGTTCAAGTCCATGTTGCAGTCCGGAGTTATGACTCGTGATCTTGACGTGAGATGGGTCTCGAGTTTGTCATGGTATTTCTTGAACTTGTTCGGCCTGCAGCCAGTTTTTGGGTTTATACTGGGCCGTGATAACTGTGAGTGCTTTCCATTTGCTTCCTTCTTCTTACTACTCTCCCTCCCGTGTTGCCCATACAACCAACCTTCTGCAAGTACTCTTGCTAATTGCATCTACCTATCAGCTGCGAGCCACATGACCGAACAGATGTCTCAAATGAATCCCAGTGCGACTGCCAATCCCTTTGGACCTGGTCAGGACCCAGATAAGCTGTTCCTGGCCGAGGCAGAAAACCTGGAAGTCATGGAGCATTACTGTATTTTCGATGGCATTGAAGAGAGATTGTTGCAGAGAGTTGGGTAGAATGACGAGACCATGATGTACTATATTATTTGAAATTTTACAGGCAATTAAAGAGTTCGCTGTGTAGCGTTGAAGTTTGATTTAATATCATATCGTGACCTATAGATCTTGAGAAATGTGCATCCGTAATGATAAACACGCCCCATAACCATGTCAATCCCAAGCAGAAGATGTTAAAATTGAGAAAGCTGTTCCGGGATATCAAAACGAAAAGCCATAAATCATAGTTGTCATGAAAGAAATACACCCGCCGACGCCGATGCCATTAGCACCATTAATCTAGTTGAGGCTTAGACATAATTAACAACCCCCTTAAGAACCCAGACTTCCCCGTTGGAGGCCTGAGTCATAATCTTCTGGACTTCGATTTTACCCGGATAAATCTATCCAGCCATCAGTAAACTATCAACTCAACGAAAAAAAAGAAACGAAAAAAGAGATAAGGCACTCACATAAACCTTCCCATCATCGCCTTTCTTCCAAAAGACCCCGCCACCACCGACAGTTTTAACCGTTTCATGAGACGACCATGGGCTCACCGGTACAATATGCGCCTCAACAAAACGCCTCAGATTCCTTGCCGCTCTCCCTTCCCCTTCCTTTCCCGCATAAGCTGCTTTCTCTCCAAAGTTCTTGTAATCCTCCGGGTCCTCCCAGGGTTTGCGGGGCAATCCCTGAATTGCGGAATTCAGCGGAGCTAGTACGGTGCTCTTCTCCGACTCATTGTTGAAGCGGGCGGAGACAGGCTCGATATCCCGCGTGAGGGAGGAGAAGATGTTGACTTCGCGAGTCTTCGCGAGGATGTCGGAGACGAAGAGGTCTCGGTGGGCTTTTCCACTCGGATCGTTGCCTTTGCCTTGCTGGCGACTGTTACTGTTCCCCATTGCCACCTGGTCTTGTGGCGGGAGCAGCAAGGAGAATGTGTTCGGGTTTGCTTTGGGGATTTGAAAGTTTCGCGGGAGGAGACGGCGGCGGGTAACGAGGCGGAAATTGAGGCTCTCAGGGACGCCACGAAGGGCTGTTACGCTGAGGGAAATTGAAATTAAGAGGACAAAATATTTTAGGAGGAGGGACTTCATGGCTGGCAGTGGAAGGAGTCCGAGGACTCGACTTGGGGGATATATTTCACATAACCCAGAGTGTGAATGATATCATCACAAGTTGATAACTTATGAACTCCACCATCTTCACGTGATTTACTGGCGAAGCTGATTACGTCATATGACCTTTGCTCTACTTTCCATTATTTCGCTCTTTTGCGCGAAGCAGCGGATGACGAATAATATATTTTAAACGTGTTACAGCAGAACCAGGACTCTTTGATCAGAAAGTCATAATCGGCTGCTACCCTGCAGTTCTGTGTAGATGAACCAGTTGTAATGTTGCCCCAAGGACTAGTACTAATTTGGCATCGATGATAGTTTGGCTTTTATAGCGTATGACTAAGTCCTTAACTATATCAAGCAAGCATGTTGGCGCAGCGGAAGCGCGCCGGGCTCATAACCCGGAGGACCTTGGATCGAAACCAAGACATGCTAACATAGAAGAGGTTTCTTTTTTCTTCATCTTCTCTTTCCACTTTTTTAAATTTGTTTTTTTTATTTTTTATTTTTTTATTTTTAATTTTCTGCTCCCTTTCTTCGCGAATTCCTTGCCCACAGCGGCAACCACCACACGTGACTGTTATCGATAAGGGCTGGCATCTTTGACCGGAACGCGCGAAAACAACCGCCATCGTCACAATTCCAAGTTCACCACCGTTGGGCTGCTTCGGGAATCACCAGCAAGATGTCTGAATTGCAAGATTTTTTGCTGGTAGTCGAGAATAACAGAGAAGAGGCTCTGGGAATTGCTAGCATAACAGCCCAAAGTACGTCTTCCATGTTTCATTCTCGATCTGCCAAAGTGCGGAGAACTGACGGGTTCCGTTTATTCTTCATTTTTTGCAGAACTTGAAAGCAAACAATCAACTTTGATCGACGTTGTTCAATCCCTGGGAGAATATATCAATGACGAAAATCCTATTATCCGGGGGAAGGCGGTTTCATATTTGACAGCCGTCATAAGGGCCCTCTCTCCGAAATTGCTTTCCCGCCAACAAATACAGGCTCTGACAGATTTCTACTGCGATCGAATCGCAGATGGAGGGGCAATCGCAGGCCTGGATAGGCTTCAAGGCCTTGAGCGCTTTACTAAAGATATGACTGAGGGGGTTATACGATCGTAAGTGCGTCAGTAGACGACGAGTATTAAAGCCTCCGCTTTTTTATAGATCAGTGTTGAAGCGTCCAATAAACATACTCACGTACCCCAAGGATTTTCCAGCACTTTCCGGATTTACAGGCTCGTCCACAATCACAACGTTTCCAACTTCTTCAGTTGCTTAATGGGTTAATGTCAAACCACAGAAAAGGTGCGCATGTACCCCACATTCGAGGTTTTGAGATGTAACTCACCATCTATTTAGCACTGCGAGATATGGGTGACGAATCGCTTGTTGGAATTGTTGACCTTGTGAGCGGAGAGAGAGACCCAAGGAATCTCATGCTCATTTTCTCCATTCTTAGGGTCCTGATGGTGGAATGGGACATAACCAAAAATGTTCAGGTACGCACGCAACCGCCGACGACAAATATTGGAGTTCGGATTTTGACGTAGTGGCCACATACAGGCCCTCTTTGATTCGGTATATAATTATTTTCCCATCACCTTTAAACCTCCGCCAAATGATCCATACGGAATCACAGCGCAAGATTTGAAGACCCGCTTGCAAGATTGTATTTCGTCAACGCAACTTTTTGCCCCTTACGCATTCCCTTCACTCCTAGATAAACTAGACTCTACATCACTAAATGTGAAAGTACGTGAACCTCTCCTCCCCTTTCCGGGATGAAAGGCTGCTAACAGCCGGGCAGAAAGACGCCTTGAACTCGCTCTATGCATGCATATCCTCATACGATCCGGCTACTCTGTCGCGCTACTCGATAAGCGTCTGGGACACTTTGAAATTTGAGATTCTTAATGCGCAGGAAGAAATTATCACAGAAGAGTCATTGCGAGTACTTCAATGCCTCGCAAAGCGACTGTCCACACTTACCACGACATCTCAAATTTCAGCTCTCGCACAATATCTGAAACCAATAACAAAGGAATGCAATGAACAACTGCGCGAACCGCAACAGAAACAAGCCCAGCCAGCACGACAGATCTTGAGATCTCTTTCATCTGCTTCTTTGGCCTCTTTTGCTCTAATTATTCAGGCCGTCGTTGCACCATTACTCGCAGTTTATCAAGATGCTGATGGAATTGCCAAGCAAAGAGCTCTCCTGGAATCTTTTGTAGTTCTATTTGATTCCGCTATTGATATATTTGGAACATGGACTACACCTGGATCGGACCCTGCGCCGGAAAATCCTCTCTCCTCGTTCCAAGAGCGGTTAATTGAAATCTTCAGCCAAGCTCTAATGGGATCTGCAAAGGATGAAACCTCATTCCGCCTTACCTCCTTGCAAGGCCTGCTTCGCCTATCCTCCATTCGAGGATTCTTGCAGGAAAACGAAATCGGCCTTTTTGTACAGTATCTCGATGACATTCTGCTCATAGAGACCTCAGTGAGAGCAGAGCTGAGAAAGGCGGCAATAGACGCACTGGCTGGGATATCGAAACATAAGCCCCGACTCATTATGGATATCGCCTTTCCAGCTTTCATGGCGACGCTTCCGGATTCCGACAAAGATGCCGATCCTGTATATCTTACAACGCTTGAAAGCCTTGCTCAAATCAGCATTGAAAAAGACATATTCGAAACCTTCGTCCGACGCCTCTTGAGCAGGCTTGAAATTGTACTTCAGCTCGGAAATACAAGCACTTCCGCATATCCCCGTGCGATTTTGTTGACGATACTCTATGCTATGGATCGAAAAGGCTTGCAAAACGATTCGAACATTACCTACTATTATGATCAGATACTGGTGAAATTGACTAGGCGGGCGGCCCTCGCAACGACCGAAGATGATACGACCACGGTTATGAAGGACTCGTCCTTACTGGACGTCCTTGGGCGCCTGTGCAACCTTATTGTCCGGTCCCTTCCCCGCGAGAAACAGGATGAAGTTTGCGGGAACGTATACGCACTTTTTGCAACAGATGATAGCTTTATTCCCATCCCGTTTTCGTCGACTACCACATACCTTCGAGAGCAAACAATGATCCTGTCAACCTACCTCCTTGCCGGACTCCCTAAGGACTCTAAGCTGCCGTACACCAGCCCCGATATGGAATCTCTTCTTCAGGAACTAGTCCGACGTGCTATTGCCGAAGAAAACCTCACTACACATCTCGCACTCGCACGCCATCTTGCCCTTCTCGTCAACAAATTTCTCCCAACCACGCAGGTGCCTACCGCATCCTCAATCCTTTCGGCCCTCATCCAATCCTCCACATCCACATCCAAACCAACACCAAACGAAGCCTTCACCTCACCCAAAATCCGCACAATATTTTGGCTAGCGAAGGCATTGATACTTCGCCTTGCTCCCTCAACGGCAGAAATACTCAACTCGCTTTTAGCCCTCCTCTCGTCCTCGGACGCCCAAACAAGCACAACCTCTGGACGGGGATTTGCCCTCCTCCTAAGCCCAGATGATGTTCTTTCCCCCCAAAACGGCGCTGTCATCCGCCTCCTTTCGAAACAACGCGTCTTTTCCACTCTAATCCCGCTAATCTCCCAAAACGTGCGAGATCTCAACACGGGCGCAACCGCCGCATCCCGAGTTCCACTCCATACCAAACAGGCATACCTAACTGCCCTATCTGGCATTCTCTCCACTATCCCTTCATCTCTCGTCATGCCAGAACTACCAACTTTACTTCCTCTCCTCCTCCAAAGTCTAGATTTGACTGACCCACTATCACAGCCCATAAAAGCCGGCACGCTGGAGACGCTAGCTGTGATCATCCGCGATAACGGTGTCAGCGTAATTAACGAAGTGGGCTACGTCGATGATCTCGTGAAGAGGTTGTTGAAGACAGCGGTATATAACAAGAATACCGCAGCATCAACATCAACAACAGTAACCAAGGAAACAACCACGGCTGCAACTAGTGCCAATGACACCTCCACCTCAGTGCCAAACACTCCACACATCCGCGCACAGTCCCTCCAGTGTCTCCTGCTCCTTGCGCAGACTCCTGGCGTTTCGGATTCAACCTCACCGGCAGCTAAAGCTGCAAGTGCGAAACCATCGCCGTTGCTTCCGCTG